ATGTGGTTGCCGCAGGCATCACAATATGGTAAGGGACGTAACATTTCCGTCACACGCTTGAGGTATTCGGCCAATCACAACGCACTGGATAGCTGTCCAATCACAGCACACCTTGCTTTTCAGAACAATGAGCTTTGTAAAAATTGACGCGTTTCAGAAAGGCGGGGCATAGAGGAGAAACAATAATGTATGGTATGTGGAAAATAATGTATTTTTTTAACCTTAAACCGCATTAACACATTTCATTACACCAAATACACAAAATAATGTTCTTTTTAGCAACATCATATGACCCCTTTAAGTTTGGTCTGGGTTACTAAAGCCCTTCATAGAAAGTGTCTCTTCATGCGTATGCAGTAAGCACTGCAGCACTGGTGACCTCCTCCAGGTGACAAACAACCCTTTACAAGCTACACTCAATACACTTCAGTTCACCAGCTACTATATTCACAATGAAAGCAGCGAAAGACGTGAAGCTTGCAATGAATCTGTCAACTGAAATCTATCGCACTGTGAATGAAATGCTGCATCTGAACACATGCATCAATCACACTGACTATGGCATTTGACATTTATGACATGAAACTTATATTCTGATGAGTGTTTAACAATGTCTTTTCCATGAGGCACTGATGTGTAAAAGATTGCTGAAGGTGGACCAGAACAACAACATTAGGACAGAAGAATTAAGTTTGTGCAGGGTATACGATGGTAGCCTACCTCTTATCCAGACAGATGATCCACTCAGCAGAAGCGGACGGGTGGCTGGAGGTGTGTGCCGCGACCATCTTCGGTGAAATCATGGGGTAAAATTACAGTTCGCATCGTCTGCACCTGATCATGAGCAGATGTGACTTTACTGAGAGCGATCGAGTTTGAGTCTGAGCGATGCTGCTGCCGCCCACACAGCTGACAGCGGGGAAACAGACCGGGGCTAGTTGTCACAAGCGCTGTTAAATTTGGAGTCAAAGGTACGTAGTCTACACACTTTCAACACGTAGTGCAAAACCATATTTTTTGTCTAAAATTCCAATATCATATAAACAAATTAGCATAATAAACCACAGTAACATACATTCAGACAAGAATCAACAACATTTAATGGACAGTTCACCTAAAAATGACAATCCAAAAATTCTGTCATCGTTTACTCATCGGAGTCGTTCCAAACCATAAGACTTTCGATCAACTTCGTAACACAATTAAGATATTTCTAATGAAACCTAATATATTTATTCCCCTCAACTCAAAGTCTGCAACAAAAAACTCTGACGATTCAAAAAATGTATAAACACTCAAAATGCAACAGAAAAGATGGCTTTATATGATTAACAGATATAATTCAGGCTTTTACCCTGTGAAGCCTGACATACGAAATAATAGTTGTAAAAAATTAGGGCTGTCAAACGATTATTTGCGAATAATCGCATCCAAAATAAAAGTTTGTGTTTACATAAATGTGTGTGTACTGTGTAGGCTATATTTATTATGTATGTATACATACACATGCATGTATATATTTAAGAAAAATATGTTATTTTTATATATAAAAT